TGCCTCTCCCGTTGCGGAGCACAGGCTCCGGACGCGCAGGCTCAGCGGCCATGGCTCACGGGCCCAGCCACTCCGCGGCATGTGGGATCCTCCCGGACCGGGGCACGAACCCGTGTCCCCTGCATTGGCAGGCGGACTCTTAACCACTGCGCCACCAGGGAAGCCCCCCAGTGAGTTTTTAAATGTGGTTCACGAAAGGGCATTTCTGAACATTTTACTCCAAGGACGCAGTCCAGCCAAAAGAGGATTTGGGTGGGTAGAGGTGAGGGAAAGAACACGTACAGGATAAAAAGCGCAGTTTCTTGGAGACTTGTCAGGAACTGAGTGGGGAAGGGGATGGGAGTGTAATAAAAAGCAAAGTCTAGAGTGGAAAGGCGACCACACAGCACTCACGCAGTGGAGGAGAAAAGTGGGCTCAACTGTTCTAGAGAGGCTTCAAAAGGAACCCTGCGGGAGCCCTGCAGGGAGGCGCAGGCCGAGGGCGGATACGCGGCAGCTCCCAGAAGGTTTGGGGGTGGGGGGAGGCGGGGAGCGCGAAGCTGGAGCCGTGCGGCCCAGACTCCCCGCCCCTCTGCTGGCCCTCTCGGCGCTCCGCGTCCTGCCGCGCTCTCCCCACGCCTGCCCCTCCCCCGCTCCGAGCTCTCCGACTCCTCCCCGGCTCCTCGGCACTCCCACCTCGCCCGCTAGGCCCTCCACTCGGCGTCCCGGGGTTCGCTCCGCGCTCTGCGCCCTCACTGAGCGCAGCCCCTAGCGGCGCGTCCTGCGAGGCCGGCCTCCGCGCACCGCCCTTCCTCCCGCCCTCTCTCCTCCTCCCCTGCCCGGGGAGGATCCCGCGCGATCCAGCTTGGGGAGGCGGGGAAGCTGCCCGAGCGTGACCGCCGCTGCAGCCAGTGTACAGCCGCGGGCCGGAGGCGCGGTTCCTAGGCCTTAGAGCCCGGCGAGGCCCCTGGAGAATCGGCGTTGCTCGCTGAGAACTGCGAGGCCCGCCCCTACGCGGCGCGGAGGGCGCGGAGGTGAGCGGGCTGGGGGGAGAGAGAGAGCTCTAGACGCGGTGGCGGGGGCGGAGTTGGGGACCCAGATGCGGTCGGCGCCAAGCGCTTGCATCCCTCCTCCTCTGGATTCCGCGCCGTCTGCGGCGTCCGCCGGAGCTGCTGGGGTCCTGGATCGCCTGGTACCTAGAGGCGGGGAGTGGGAAGGGTGTCTGTTCCACGGATCCCGCCCCCTACTTCCCCGAGCTCCCAGAAAGTCCTGAGGTTGGTTGGGCCCAGGAGAAAGGAGGCCAGGAGAGACATTGTCCCAGGTAGGATGTGCCCCAAAGGGAGAGGACGGGCAGGTTACCTTAGCCTCCCTGATAGTCTCCTTACCACTTTGGGTTCATGCGGGGCATTTCATTGAAGATAGGGCAGCGCTGCTTTTCGAAATCTAAGTATTTCTAGTAGTCATTTTGTTTATTACCCAGTGATGTGACCGTGGTGTGTTTAGGCCATTATGTGTTAGAAAGTAACTGGCCTCTTCTTTGAGTGTTCTAAATTATCAGAGACCCGTATTCAGCCACAGCCAAAACTTGTTAAAAATTATGCCCCAAAAATCTTGCTCTTAAAATAAAGCAGGGAGTTAAAGAGAATTTTTGTCGAGAGATTTCCATTTATTATCTTCCCCACCCCTTGGAGAAGGATTGATGTCAGTTTTTACTTCTCAGGCTGTACATTTTTTAGATGGAAAAACTTATTCCAGGCCATGGTTAATTATCACTCATTGCTGTGGGTGAAAGTGCAAGTAGAATTCGAACTCCTGCCTCACCGCCACCCTCTTGACTTTGATTGGATTCTAGTCCTGTTAACAGCCCTGATGCTGGGAACCTTTTTAATTCTCTCCAAACCAGTACCCCATCACACCCCATACACTTTTTTCACCTTTATTATTTCCTCGTCGTGTTGCTCTCCATTTACTTTTTTTTTTTTACTCTACAGCTCTCTCTTGTTTCAAAGCTTAAAAGCTATCTACAGAAGAAAAACACCTGTCCTAGAGATTTTGCAGCATATTTAGAAACATAATTGGAATGGCTGCAGTTTCTTTCTCTTAGCTTGTCAGTCATTGGGGGGGTGGAGGGGTAAGGGAATGAGACAGTATTAATAATGATGAATTGAGCTAATTGTGCAGAAAGGAAATGAAAAACTGTATCCAGGTCACTTTTTATTGTACTAGTGACATGGTAAATAGACTTAAAGTGAATGAGCGTAATTATATTCTAATACTGCAGTTTCAATAAAGGGCATTCAGGGCATCAGGAGATGCATTTATTCTGTGTGTGCTCAGCCAGTAACCATGACATTGACTTAACCATGACATTGACATATCACCCGCTTTCGGCCCACAAGCCTTCATCAGCAAAATGAGGGATCTTATCTAGAGACCTATTACATCTCTTCTGGTTCTGACATTTTTGGATGCATTTGACAACAAAGAATATTTATTGCATTCTTATGTATATACTATGTGCCAGGCACTGTGGAGGCAATGATGGACAAGACAAACATGGTTCTGCCCTCAAGGAGCTTATTTTCTGGTGGGGGAAATAGTAATGAGTAAAGAACAGTTACATAAGAAAGGAAACCTTACAGGGGCTCAAAACAGAACAAAACTGGAGTGAATCATTGTATTGAAGAGACATGATAGGATGTGCAGTGTTCACAGGATGGGAAAGTGATTGGTCTTTTCTACTTCAAGAAAAGGATGCTGTGGCTGGACCATTGGGAATAACAGTCATACAGGATGACATTGAAGAGTTGTGCTGGGGGACTTTCCTGGTGGTCCAGTGGTTAAGACTCCGTGCTCCCAGTGCACAGGGCCCGGATTTGATCCCTGGTCAGGGAACTAGATCCCACATGCACACCACAACTAAAGAGTCCGCAAGCCGCAACTTAAAAGATCCCATATGCTGCAACGAAGATCTCCTGTGCCCCAACTAAGACCTGGTGCAGCCTAAATAAATAAATAATAAATAAAATATTTTTTAAAAAGAGTTGTGCTGAGACTAGCTAGTTCATTCAGAGTCTTCAGGTCAGGTTCATTTAGGTCAAGAAGGTGACTGCAGTTCAAAATGCAACTGGGAGCCACTGATTTTTAAGGAGGTGAAAGACATCATCTGATTTACAATTTAGGATGATCTTAGCTGCTTCCTAGAGAATGGTTTGGAAAGAGGCAAAGGAGTAAGTAGAGAGACCATTAGAAAATGTTTGCAGAGTTCAGGTGAGAGAGGAGAGAGACCTGGATTAAGCTGGTGTCATTGGAGAGGGATTTAAGAAATATTTTGGAAAACAGAAGTTGGTGTTGGATTTTTTTTTTTTTTTGCGGTACGCGACTCTCTCACTGTTGTGGCCTCTCCTGTTGCGGAGCACAGGCTCCGGACGCGCAGGCTCAGCAGCCGTGGCTCACGGGCCTAGCCGCTCTGCGGCATGTGGGATCTTCCTGAACCGGGTCACGCACCCGCATCCCCTGCATCGGCAGGCGGACTCTCAACCACTGCGCCACCAGGGAAGCCCTGGTGTTGGATTTTATGTCAAGGGTGAGGGAAAACAAGGACTGGAGGATCACTCCCAGATTTCTGGCTTGAGCAATGATATCATTTACTGAGAGCAGGAAATTTGGATGAATGCAAACAGTTCTGGGTAGAAAAAGTGTTTTGTTTTGAACCTGTTAAGTTTGAGATGTCTATGAGGAGATCATAACCACAGCTGCTTGGGAGGAGAAAAGGGATGGTCTCCAGGACAGAAGTGGACAGACTGTCCTTTGATAGGTGAGGTTAATGATTGTGAATTGAAGGTGAGCTGCGTTGTCTGATTTTTCTTTAGCAGCCTTCACCAACTTGGATACAGATACAGTGAAAATGGATAGCTGGGTTCTTCCAGGGCTTGAGTTTTGCCAAGTGGATGTGATGGAGAGCAAGAGAGTTGTCCTAATCTGTTCAGGCTGCTATAACAGAATATCACTGGCTGGGTGGCTTAAACCATAAACATTTATTTTTCACAGCTCTGGAGGCTGGGAAGTCCAAGATCAGAGCAACGGCAGATTCAGTCTGGTAGGGGCCTACTTCCTGGTTCATAGACAGCCAACTTCTCACTGTGTCCTCATATGGCAGAAGAGAGCCCAGAGCTCTCTGGGCTCTCTTTTTATCCCATTGATAAAGGTTTCACCCTTGTGACCTAATCCCCTCCCAAAGGTTACACATCCTAATACCATTACATTGGGGGTTAGGATTGCAACATATGAACTGTTGGGGGATAGGGGATGATAAACATTTAGTCTGTAACAAGAGTCGATCTTTTTAAGTGAGTAATGATAAATATACACTGTGGAATCTAGGATGGATAAAGAAACCGGGAGAGTGAGAATATAGTCAGTGGATCAGATTTCTTCTACCATCTGCAATTATCAGTGTGAACATTTGACTAAGGTTATTGGAAGGCTAAGAGATAGTGCTTGGAGATATCTGAGGTGTGATGGAGGCAAAGATTCATTGCCTTAGATGAGTAAGTGAAGGAAATGAAGCCATGAGGTTGAATGCTTCATCCATTCGAACGATGAAGGAGTAGACAAGGATGACAACTGCTGGGGTAGAGAGAGGAAGAGTTTGTATGTATTGGGGGCCAAAGTCACTAGTGATAATGAATAAGCTAGAAGTCAGTAGATGACAGCAGTGAGTATAGGGACAGGGTATTACAAGGTGCCATGGGGTTCAAAGGAGCTTGGGGTCTGCGGGACAGAAGAAGAAAGGTTCAGATGTGGCTTTCAAAGTCAAAAATACACTAACTTCATCTCATGGCCCTGGAGGATTACATTTTCTTGATAACATATCCAAATCAGCAGGTTGTGAATGTCATCAAGATCTCTGAGGACAGCCCTTTCAGAGTTACTGTTATTCAACAATTAATGCTGTAGATGTTTATATGTGAAACAAATTCTGTTCTGTTTTATAAAATTAATATAGCACAACAGCTGCCATTCAGCCAGAGGGATGTCAAGGAAACCCCTCTAAATTGAAAATCTTAGGATTTCATGTATCTGAGTGTAATGGAATTCTCTTAGCTTGATAATATACTTTAAGATTTAAATGCATACGTCAAGTCAGATGTCCACTGAAGGAAACTGTGACCTTGAAATTTCAAGGAACCCATATGCTACTTAAATCACACTGTTAGATGGAGCTCATAAAGTAGAAGTGTCACAGTGTTAAATAAAAGCTAGCAGTTACCGTTATTATCTAGCTATAATTCTTGGAAACAAAAGAATTTTAGTGTTGGGAAGGAATGCAGAGTCAAGTACAACTTTTTGTTTTCCATTAAGCAAAGGAAACTAAGACTCAGAAAACAAGGTGATTTCAGAAGCCTGGGCCTATTCTTTCTCCTCGACACCACATAAACAAAACTTTCTATAAATGTCATAGTCTTTTCAATTATCTAGTCTGTATTACCTGTGAATAAGATCAAAACAAAAGGTACAGAAACTCTAGCGCCTTGCTAGTCCAAATGTGGCCCATGAACTAGGACCATGGGTATCACCTGGGGGCTTGGGAGAACTGCACATTCTCAAGCCCCCCACCACCCCAGACCTGGAGAATTAGAATGTGCATTGTAGCAAGATCCCTAGATGATCATACCCACATTAAAGCTTGATAGTCGGTCCACCTGGAAATTCTCATCTGCTCAGGTCAGCAGAACCTCTGATGCCTGGAGAACTGAGGAGAGGCGCCCCTCGTCAAGTGGAAAGAAGAGACACCCTCACTGGAACATTCTGAATTTTGAATGTTATGAAGTAACAGGAACAAAGTATGCTGTGTGGTGGGATAACACATTTAAGGAACGGCACTGCCCTTTCCAAAAAATGAAGAGAGGAAATTGCAAAGTAGTGAGTGGACCTTCTGAGATAGCTCAGAGCCTGCTTGAGAAAGGGGAAAGGGCTGCATGCATATTCTACAGCTTCCAGCATTCAAGGGCAGCTGTTAGTCTCTTGCTAG